ATGTAAAAAAAGGCGATTTATTAAAAAAAGAAGTAATGGTTGTAGCTTTTTTAATTGTAGCAAAAAGGGTCTGGGATGATTTAAAAAGATTTGTGATGCAAAGATTAGCCTGATGAGCAAAACAAGGTAGCCAAATTTTTGTTATTATTTCTTTCCTTAATCTGCAACATGCAGCAGCATAACTACTTGATGAATCAGTAACAATTGCGATTACATTAATATTTTTTAATTTATCCTCAATTAATAGATCCTTTATCAACTTTATTGTAGCCTCTGTAGAACCACACTTATCAGAAATATTTCTTGCATCATATATAATTACTTTTTTCATTTCTGTAACACAGGTAATACCAAGTATATTTTGTTTTACTATGTTTTTCCAGCCATCAAATATAAGGATAATAGCTTTAGCATCTTTCATAGTTTTTAATGTCTTATCCTGAAGTTTATTAGTAGTATTATTAAGGAGTTTACCACTTAACATTTGATGAGATGGAATAGCATTATGTTTAAGTTGAAGTGCTAGATTAAGATAATTAAGAAGATCTAATGTTTCTTCACAATCTATCCACTAAAATAACTACCTATTGGCAATAGTTGCTAAAAGAAGTTTCTCTTGAAACTTTTCAATCCATATATTTGTTGGGGTTTTAAAAGATATCTTGAAATTCCAGTATCAAGATGTTCAGCAGGATTCTTAACCCTAAGATGTTTACTTAAAACCAAACTTTCTGAATTATTACTAGCATGATTCAAATTAATGTTCTCTTTTGTTGAAGGTACTAACTTCTGTTTTAATTCATTAGAAATATTTGAACAGAAAACAATATGCTAAGTATAATATCGTGGTTTTCCCAAAACAATCTCTTTTTCTCAGCTTAATTTATTAAAATCATTATCATTTTCTCTTAAACAAAAAGTACACACCATCTCTTTATCTGATGAATTCCAATATTTTGGTTTTCCATCATCACTAGGAACCTCAATAAAAACTCTAAAACCATATTTTTTGGATGCCCTTGTTTGCAACTAGATATTTTTAAAATAATAATATCCTTAAATCTTAAAAGTTAATGTGAACA